CCTCGACGACGCCGACGACCGCGCCTACGTCGTCGCCGACGTCGCAGCCGTCTGGCCTGCCGACGGGCTCGAGCCGTCCGACGGCATCGCCGACGTCGAACCCGACGTCCGATCCGTCGTCGGCGCCGACGAATCAGCCGTCGGCGACGCCGTCGGCCGTGCCCACGTCGGTGCCCACGTCCTGTCCGACGTCGTCGCCGACCTATGCTCCGTCGTCGACGCCGACGCGCGCCGCCCGCGTCTCGCGTCGCCGCGCGCCGCGAAAAGCCGTCGCGACAGGTACACGCCGACGTCCGTCCCGACGGCCGCGCCGACCGTCTCGAGCGAGCCCACGGGCGCGCCGACGAACGTGCCGACCCCACAACCCTCGAATCAGCCGACGAACGCGCCTTCGAATCAGCCGACGAACGTGCCGACCGCGGAGCCCTCCTCCGTGCCGACCGCGGAGCCCTCCTCGCCGCCGACCTCCGTGCCGACGACGCCGCCGACGACCGGGCCCAGCGCCACGCCGACGACGCCGGCGCCCACGTCCGTGCCCACGTCGAACCCCACGCCCGGTCCGTCGGTCACGCCCTACCCGTCCGGCGTCCCGTCGTCCGTTCCGACGTCCGTCCCGACGGTCCCCCCGTCGAGCGTGCCGACGACGCGCGGTTTCGGTGTCCCAGAAAGGCCTCGCGCCCTTCACTTCTTCTCACAGGCCGCCCACGAGCGTGCCGACGACGCCGCCGACGTCCTGCCCGACGCCGTCGCCGTCCGGCACGCCCGTCCCGTCCGGAGTGCCGTCGCCGGCGCCGACGTCCGTGCCGACGTCTCCGCCGTCCATGGTCCCGAGCTCGTCGCCCACGGAGGTGCCGACAGGTGCGAGCCGTCGTGGAAACCACAAACCGTCACTCGATCTCCCTCTAGGCGTGCCGACGACGCGGCCGAGCGCGCCGCCGACGGCCGAGCCGACGTCCGTGCCCACGACGCCGCCGTCGCCCGCGCCGTCCGCGCCGAACCCGACGCCCGTGCCTAGCGTCACGCCCGTGCCCAGCGGCATGCCGTCCCCGCAGCCCAGCGCCATGTCCGCGCCCGCGTCCGAAAAACAACGAAACTCGCT